GGTTAGAAACAAGATTTCTGTTATCAAGATGCAAGGAGATAGGAAGTATGCAGGTAGCTATCAAAGATGGCTTGGCACAAGAGTTTAGAGAAAAGATAGAAATTTATATTTTGCTTCTATGTAAAAATGTTATTGCAAAGTTGTAGAAACAGTCTTTTTTCTTTTTGAATGAATTTAACATTTCTTCAAAAAAAAAAAAAAGAAGACGATAAAACCTAACTCCCTGGTTCTGAAAGAGAGGCGTCCAGTTTTTCTTTATTTTCAAAAAAATTATAGATTTTTTATCTATTCTATTACAAATAAAATTATTACATTTACAATTTTACAACTTTCTACTTCAACAGTTTCATGAAAATTTACGCGTCAAAATGATTATCTTTTTAATAATTTTTAGATGATTAGAAAATATAACTTTTATTAAACAATAGTATAAATTTTACATAAAACCGTGAGATTTAGATTTTTTAAAGTAATATAGATAAGGAATTTTATCAAACACTCAAATAAAAAACATTTTTAAAACTCACAACTTAAAACCTTTTCAATAATAGAAAATTCCAAAAAAAGGAGAAATATCAAAATCAAGAATATTATATGTTAAATAAATTATTAAAAAATCATATTTGAATAACAGTAAATTTATCATTTTAGTACAAAACAAATCAATCTTCTTGTTGACTTAGGCCTGTTTGTTTCATCACCGCTACTTCTAACGGAAGCGTTCAAAAAATACGGCAATGGAAACCAAAAAAAACAGAATCGAAAGTTAAAACAGCCACCGATTGATGATGCTAAACACATAGTGACTGAAAATTCAAAGACTTTGATGACGCTATAAAATCTAGGACTCAAAAACTGGAGGAAGATTAAAAAGATGATGCCTTTGATTATTTTTTTTCCTTTTATAATTTTAACCACTGGACACTGCGGTAGCATCAACGAAAAGAACAGGCCTATTGTTATCTTATTTGTGACTCACAATTGTTATCACAAATTGTGACCAACAAATCTTCTTCCAAAGTAGCTGTAAGATGACCTTTAGTTGATGAATCAGTCACGCCAGTTTCTTAGTGTAAAGTTCATACTTTGATTAAAGAATATTGATATACATCATTCTTAGTGACCAATAAGTTAACAAGACATCATGATACAAAAAAAGAAGTCAGGGTAAAAGATTTTAAAGGACACTAGCAGCTCAACAATGGCTTTACACGCCTACCGACATCAAACTGAACTTCAGAAAGACCAGTGATTCCAGCGGTTATCTTCTGACCGATGTTTACAGGTCCAATACCTTCTGGTGTACCTATACATACATTCACCAACTTTCCTCACAATACTATCATGAATTCTCAGATATAGTGAAATCAAACCACTAACTCCAAGTCTCCAATGTTACAAGTATTGGTTCCATCTTTAAATTACCTGTCAAGATGACATCTCCTTTGAAAAGAGTCATTACAGAACTTATGTAGCTGATGAGGTATGGGACCTTGTAGATCATATCCTTTGTCCAACCCTTTTGTCTTATCTCATCATCAACCTACCACAGAGATCGAGATTATATAAGAAAAGGGAATAAACATAGCTTCATAATAACAACAGAGCAGGAGAAACCAAACCTTAAGCCAGAGTTCCAGGTTATTGGGATCAACCACCATTGCCTTTGGTAGCTTAAACCCAACAAAAGAAAGAAAGAAAAACTCAAGATAGAGGCCAACGGTTTTCTTCAGTTAGCTAACAGTAATAAGATTATGTTTGTTCTGTTAAGGGTATCTAACATTTTGGGAAACAAGTTCCAGATCATGAACTTACAACAGAGCTGATGGGTGTGAAGGTATCCTGTGCTTTAGCAAGTGTACATGGCAAACCAGATGCCTACAAAAGACGAGAATATTAAACACATCCATGATAAAATGATATATGTAACAAAGAGAAATGGTTATGTACCATGGCAGAAGCGTGGTATTCCTTAGCAGTCATATCAAGGGCAAGCGCATATCCTATCAAAATAAGAACATGTTTATATTAGAGCTAATATAAACACTTAGATGACGAACAATGTCACATTAGAACATACCAAAGCTACAACACAAAAACCACCACATACTTAATAACCATCAAGAACCTTAATGCAGACAAATGTTGTGTTTAAGTACCTCCAATGTAATCCATAGCTAACCGTTCTGGAACATCTCTAGCCTTGTCTCCAATCACTACAGCGAGTTCCACCTCATGGTGAAGTGAATCCAGAGGATGTGGGATCTCTATTGTTCCACCGTTTTCCAAGTAAGAAGATGTTGGCTTTAAGAACACAATCGGGTCCTACTTCCAGACCACAAAACAGACAAGATACAAAAAAAAAAATCAAGATCAAAGAAGAGGAAGTGAAGAAGATGCAACAAAGTGTGTACCTTTGGGAGAGCGTTGCCAATGCCAAGTTCTTTGGCGTGTGAAGCGTAATTGAGTCCAACGCCTACGATCTTCGTGCCTTGCTTGAACATCCTCTGCATCATCGAAGTCGCCATTTTTAAGTCAACCCGGATCTTCTCAGCTCCGCACTGTTCGTTTTGTCTGGAAAAAGATTCGTTGTTGACCGCGTTACCGAGTCCACTCGGCGAGATCAAGGGTCAAAGTGAAAAACTTTAAAAGTAAGTGGCCAAAAGTGGAAAAAAGTATAATGTTTGGACCTATTACTGTGAATAGCTATGATTCACAAATTAAGACATCACTTCGCGATGTGGACTTTCAAAACAAGACTCAATTAGGACATAGCTAATTTTCTTTATTTTAAAAAGTTTTAAATATTAATTAACATGATCTCGCAACTCACATGATCAAATTATCAACGACTTTTGTTTAGGGAAACGTGTTAGCAAGATTAATCAAAATCTCGAAGACTTAATCAGACATAAAAACTTGAAAGTTGTTACGAAACAAAAAAAGATTAATTAACCTGATCTCGCAACTCACATGATCAATTACCAACGACCTTTTTTTTTGTTGGAAACGTGTTAGCAAAATTAATCAAAACTCTGGAAGACTTAATCAGACATAAAAACTTGAAAGTTGTATATATCCTCAGTCAGAATCTTTTTTTTTTGCAGATCTTCAGATTCTTTTTGTATAACATGTACTCTATATTATATGAAGGCAGATAAACTTCTATAAAGAGTATTTTTCACATTTTTAGATATATGTTTTATATTGATTTCACGCATAGTTCTAAGTTAACAGTTTTAATTTGTATGTGTTTCAAAAAAAAAAACAGTTTTAATTTGTATGCGACTTTTGCAGGTTAAATATTTATTATAGACAGTATATTGTTATATGTCTGGGTCAAATGTTATGTTTAAACTTTAAACTAGTAACATTTAAATTTCCATAACTAGTACTCCCTCCGTTTCATATTAAGTGTCGTTGTAAAGAATTTTTTGCGTTACAAAATAAGTGTCGTTTTCAGTTTTCAATGTAAAATTTATTAATTTTATTATGTAACTAATTTTTCTATTGGTTAAAATATGGTTAGGTGTATAGGGAACTGTGTTTTTATATAGAAAATATGTAAAATTAATTGTTTCCTTAATCCGTGTGCACAGCTGTAGAGTGACACTTATAATGAAACAGAGGGAGTATTAATAGTTATTGGAAACACTAAATTGGTGTAATAACAACACACCGGAAATGAAAGAAGTATATAAATTTTGTTGATTCGGGTCAAATATGTAATTTAAAGTAACATTTTTAAATTAGCATAGATTTTGTAAGTAACTATTATGTATTACCAAAGGTCCAAAACACGTTTAATCGGTAAAAGTAAAACAAACAAATTATCTAAGACGAGAGATGCATATCCAACTTTGGCTTACTTAAATGTCCAGGTCAAACATTTAGCCTAAAGTTAAAGTTTAAATGTATCGCACGTTTTTAAATAAACTTTATTAACTATTAAAATATGTTTAATCCATAAATAAACAACTTATCCAAATGAGGAATGCAGTATAATTCTTATTGTCTTATTATGATTGTAAGTTATTTTCTTTTGGTTCTTTTGATGGTTAAAAAAATATAACCCTTTTGGGTCTAAAAGCCGATGTTGAGCTGTTTTGGTCTGAACTTGAACTAAACATCAATTACGTGCTAAATAATGCTATTGTTTAATGCTTTCTTAAGAAATACTGTTTGTATTAGTTTTACACTAAATTAGATTTAGTCAATGCTATTACATCCATTAAAATCTTTAGTAAATCACTTATTTCAATTACAGCAAGGGTATTAAAAGATTACAAAAGGATCAAGGGAATTATTCGACCTGAAAAAGAGATTAGTGTCGAATATGGTATGCACGATACTACTCTTATCCTTATTCAAATATTCACGAGATACATGAGCCCTTTTATTTTAACATTAGCGCCCTGTCAGGAACTCGTTTTGCTGTCTGAAAGAGAATTTATTTATTAATACTAGTCCATAAACTAAAATATATGTATTTTGACCCCAAAAAAAAAAACCTCAAATATATGTATATAAATATCCATCATGTGGAAAGATAAACACAAAGTCGACTCTTCTAATCCTCTTTGACCACTATTTCTTTCTCTGTCTTCCTCAAAAACTCACCCGAGAGATATGGCAGAACTAAGTTTCTATGTTGGAGTCATAGGTAACCTCATCATCTTCTTTGCAAGTGATTTAAAATACATCAAATGATCATATTATACATTCACAACCATAAGTGTATCTATATTGTTATAGCTAAGCAGTTTTTGTATATATGATCGATGCAGGAAATGTGATATCGGTTCTTGTCTTCCTCTCTCCTGTGTACGTTACCTCTCTCTTTCTTTCAATCATTTTGTTTGATCTAATAATAGATTATTTGAATTATGAGAAACAGGTTATGAACTAATTGAATTACATTTAAATTATTTTTATTAGAGAGACGTTTTGGAGGATAGTGAAACGGAGATCGACGGAGCAGTATGAGTGTTTGCCGTACATCTGCACTTTGATGAGTTCGTCTTTATGGACATACTACGGAATAGTGACACNATTTTGTTTGATCTAATAATAGATTATTTGAATTATGAGAAACAGGTTATGAACTAATTGAATTACATTTAAATTATTTTTATTAGAGAGACGTTTTGGAGGATAGTGAAACGGAGATCGACGGAGCAGTATGAGTGTTTGCCGTACATCTGCACTTTGATGAGTTCGTCTTTATGGACATACTACGGAATAGTGACACCTGGTGAATATTTGGTTTCTACAGTCAACGGATTTGGAGCTCTTGCTGAAACCATATACGTTCTCATTTTCCTCTTCTTTGTTCCAAAACCTAGATTCGTAAGTTTTTATTTCCATTTACATTTTTCAGTAATATAGTTTCGTTTGAATTGTATATTTGTATTTTCGTAGTGAGATCTTATGTGTTTTCTTTTGGTTGTTGGTTAAAATCTGCATTTTAATTAATGGACTGCGTTTGTTTGACTCAGATTCAGATCTGATTAGCATATATATATATTAACATTTTATTGTGACATTTGATCAATAAGTTGATATGTCATATAAACTATAATATATATTGTCACTTGTACGCATTTATAACGTAACTCTTCTTTTCAAATCTGTTTTGCAGTTAAAAACAATTATTTTGGTTCTAGCTCTGAACATTCTTTTCCCAGTCATAGCAATTGCTGGAACAAGAACTGCGTTTGGAGATGCAAAAACGCGTTCTAACTCTATGGGTTTCATTTGTGCTACTCTCAACATTATCATGTATGGTTCTCCTCTTTCCGCTATTGTAAGTCTCTTTACTTTCTTTTTATCAAACTTGTATATATATCAATTATACACATTTGCTACAAACAAATGATATTAACATAGGACAACAATAACTTTAGTTATTGTTCTTTCATTTTAAAAATTTCGTGACTATTTTATACAAATCTTATGTCCCCATTCGTCAATATCCTCTATATCAAATCAACCAACCACAAAGAAACAACAAATCATTGGATGATCTTTTTGATATAAGTAACATATCAGTGTCATTGTATATATTATCATTAGATGACAATTTAGATATACATGTCGTTCTAATCCAAATCACTTAAATTATTGATATGATCAGAAAACAGTTGTGACAACGAAGAGTGTGAAGTACATGCCGTTTTGGCTATCGTTTTTCCTCTTCGTAAACGGCGCGATTTGGGGTGTCTACGCTTTACTCGTACACGATGTTTTCCTACTGGTGAGTGTTTTGATATATCTTTTTTTTATAGGAAACACATAACTTTTATAGTATTAATTATTTGATAGTAAATTGATTTATATTTTGTGTGTGTAGGTGCCAAATGGAATGGGCTTTTTCCTTGGGATAATGCAGCTCCTAATTTATGCGTTTTACAGAAATGCCAAACCAGTCGTAAAAGATGTAGAGGAAGCCCTCGCACCAAGCCAACCACTCCTCTCATAACCATTCTCAACTATAATTTGTATGAATGAATAAAACTTCTTTTTATTTTCGTGAGTGTTCATTTTGGTAGCTATTTATTAGAGAATGCCTTAATTTATTACTTTGTGTTTACCTCCGGGTTCAAGTACATGTATGTTATTGAATGATTTGATTTTAAACAAGTTTTTTAGAACTCTGACTAAATCAAGAGAAATTGTTGTGATTTGTTTCTATAAATTTTCAAAAATATCAGTAATCAATTAAATATTTGAAAGATTGTGTTAAAATAATAATCGCATATTATTAGTGGACTCTTATTAGTGATGAATTTTCAAAAGTTTGTAAAATCAGTGGTATTACTTGATATTTATAAATATCCCTTAAATCTACTGATCATATATATTGAGCTAGTGATTTTTGAACATTACTTCGAGTTCATTGTTATTTAAGAATGTTTTAAACATCGGTTTTTAATGATTTCAAAGTGCTTTCGAATAATTTTTTTTTCAAACTCTTTTTTGCTTTCGAAGAATTTTTGATTTTTTTTTATAAGAGCAAGTAAAAAAAAAATATTATGCAAACAAGGACACATAAATTACTTCTTACATTTCATAACAGCATTATACATACTGAAAGTTGTAAACGACAAAGAGTACACGACTTTTAAGATTGAGACACAAACCCTAGACCTTATTTCATGCATATGGTTAACCCACACGCAAGCAAACATAAACTGGTCACGACACAAAATAGAACAACACAAGTACAGTCACCGAACTTATAGTATAGTTTGGAGGGACTAAGCGAGGGTAAAGCCGGTGGGACGGAGGTTGGCGACGCGTAGGACACCAGAGACTGTTTCTCCGACAAGGGCCAACGGTGATGAGAGGAGTTGGCCGGTAGGAAGTGCGGCGTTGCAGGTAGAGAGAGGGGTTACAACCGCGACTTGACATTCGGAGAGGAGTGTAGAAAGCACTAACTGAATTGGGTTTACAAGCATCGAGAATAGTCCGGCACTGTTCGTAGTCGACGTTGAAACGACGTTGTTTTGTCCTCCGCACCGGAGCTGAACGCCGGCATCTGTTAAATTTTAAAACTGATGATTGTTATGAATTGTAAAATTAATGAAGTTACGTTTTGTAAAACGTGAATAAGTGGTGGATTTATAGATTCGTACATGAATAAATATGTAACATATACAAATACTTCTAGGTATCAATCGAAATATATATATGTTTGCATATCACACTTTCACAATACTGTTGAACTTACAAACGTGTATAATTTATACCATATTTATTTACACAAACAAAAAGGAAAGGGGTATGTTATAGATTTTGTGTAAATAAATATGGTATAATTATACCATATATGTAATTAACTCTAACTAATTTTTAACAAAACCAGCCTCCCCAATTTGTGTTGGTTTCTAGAACCGATACAAATGTTGTTGGCCTGGTTATTAATTTCATATGATTGATTCATAGTTAACAGGAGAAGTTTGGAGAGCTTACTAACGAAAGCAGGAGCGGAGACATTGCCATTGGCAGAGCAACGCAGTATGCCTTGAATATTGATGAGACCTAAAATGCCTCCAAGGACACCACCACCACCACCACCACCATTACCAAGAAGCCCCCCAAGGCCACTATTACCAAGAAGGCCTCCTAGGCCACCATTACCAAGAAGGCCCCCTAGGCCGCCACCACCAAGAAGGCCACCTCCACCACCAAGAAGGCCACCATCACCTCCACCACCAAGAAGGCCACCGAGGCCACCAAGCTGAGCTTTAGCCATTGGGGACACCATCACGAGACACACGAAGACCAGCGAGAAGGTTATGTGTTTGTTCTTAAGCATTGTCATGTTCTTGAGGACAATTGTGTATGGAATTACAGAATAGACAGTATTTATGTTTTGCTTTTGGTTTTAGATGTGATAAAGTGTCTTCCTATGCAGCTTTATTTATAGAACAAGTTTTGCAGATTTCGCCCTCCTGTATACCTTCATTGATATTTTATTTTTTATTTAATTTTGTCATCTATTTACTTTATTTTAATAATTTTATTCAACTTGTGTACAACAACCAATTATTATTATCTTAGTTACTACTATCAGTTGAGTTGTTAATCTTTGGATTATCAAACTGCACCGGCCTTTATTTGGTTGCATTCAAACATATGCATGTGTAAGCAGGGCCGGCCCTGAGATTTTGGGGGCCTGTGACGGTTTCTAAGTAAAAAAATTTTTTAGGGGCCTAAAAATTTTTTTAGGGGCCTATGTTCATGTAATTTTCTACAAAAATTTTGGGGGCCTGAAACAAATGTTTCACTAGGCATTACCCAGGACCGGCCCTGTGTGTAAGGTAAATAAAAGTAATTTCAAGAATTCGACCGTTCTACCTTTTTTTTAAAGAAAAACATGATACCTTATTGTATTGAGAAAATAAATAAAAATATATATATATATATATAGGTATAGTCCTACCAAAGAACGTGGTATAATCAATACTGAATTAATCATTCTTCTTCACTAATCAGCATCCATGCAAAAATTTACCATCATAAAGAGTTCAGTTTCGTAAATCAACATGTTGCTTCCACAAAACTTTACATAAGAAATCCAGTGGTCAAACTTTTGCACACGTACCAAAAATATACATATATGACAATCTGTAACTTAAAATAATGTTGAATGTAATGTAGTTCTCGTGTAAGTTTTATAAAGAGAATGAATATCATGTTCATGTGTTTGAATACCCGGAGTGAGGGTCTATTTGTTTGCTAAGTAATCCGGGTTCGAAGGCACCCTACTACATCTTATCTTGTGGCCACGTGGATATGGATCTATCTTACGGTTCATTTGAATATCCGGAGTGAAGGTCCATCCATGGGCTGCACCACCCCTTTGGGATTAGTCTGTACCTCTCCATGGATTTGCCATACTTCCAAGGTTTGAAAAAAAAAGTTTTATAAAGAGAATGAATATCATGTTCATGTGTTTACTACTACATTGATGAACATAATGGTTAGTGAATTAATGTTTCCTATTCTATGACAACAAAAGCTATAAAAACTTTAACTGAAGGGAAAAAATAGAAACTAAAAGAAAACTCATTCTCATGCAAAATCAGTTAGCATGTCGATCTTTTGGCCTTTATTAATTTGGTCAAGATATCCGAACCCACAAGTTAAAGAGACAGGTCAAGAAAGAAAGACAGAATATTGGAATACAATTCTGTCTTTGAGTGTATCCTCAAGTGTTGGGTGAAAAAAAACTGGTGAGTTCAAGTTTTGTCAAAGTTAAAAATCTAACGATTTGCATCATTGAGTAGAATCCAAATCATAGGAGGGGCTCTCCTAAAGATTTGGCTCCTTTTTTCCTGCTTAATTTTTTGTATTATTATATAAACAAATCAAACTTACACAAGTAGACTCTTGATGTAAGGAGATAAGGGAAAATCCACCACCCATCATCTTATATTATGTAGATTGGTCCACTGAACCTATTTTTAATCTTCGACTTTGAGATGGATCGCTCATTTTATAGCCACAACAAAGAGTTATCTCATAGGTAAATGTGAATGTATGTTAAATATGAATTCTACGCAACTCCACGGGACCATAATAGATCCATCCAAGGGACTAGTCGTATACATCAAGTTGCTTGCCCTCTTGGTCACGGTAACTGTTCAGTGTAATTGTTTGCTATTGAAACCACAAAACCCTAAGAAAGTCATTCGAGAGTTTGCTGATAGTAACTACAAAACTCATCAAGTAGATAGTAACAATGAGACCAAGAGTCTTGCAAAACATGAGGTTCTCAAAAGATTAAAAAAAAAACTCTTTTATCTTTCAGCAGTTAACAAAGAAATGAAAGAATTAGTGCCTGTAAAAAAAAATATCATGTTATGATGTCTATCGTAATTCATAAACATTTATACTATTATTAGCGATTTTCTGCATTCGAACTCTCACGTTAAAAATCATCTCACGTTAAAAATCAGAGTGGTTAATATTGATTATACTTTTAATGAATAAAATTTATAAATTAGTCAAAAAATAAAAATGAATTCAAAAATTGCTGGATTAAATAAATCATTAAAAAATAACAAGAAAAATTATCCAAAATCTAAATATATATATATATATATTTTTTTTTTAAAAAAATCAATATATATTGTGTCGTTATCCGAAAATATATTTTAATAAATAATTCAAAATTCAAATCAGAAAACACATACTTAAATATTAATCAAGTAAATTTTTTTAATTTTATATTATTAAAAAGATAACATTGAACGATTTTTAAAATTTATTTATTAATATTGAATATATTGTACAAAGAAACTTAAAAATATATATATAATATATAAAAAATTTCATATGAAAACATAAAAAGTAATTTATCCTTAGAGTTTTTTTAATTAGAAACGCATGTACTACTAAGTAATTATAAAATGCTTAAGTCCGTATGTGCGAGCGAAACACCTAGTTGAATATATATTTAATATGTTTATTGGAGAAATTTTTCTGAGCCATACTGAGATGCCCTTGCCCACAATAATGGCTTCAACAAACATGATAAATATATACCCAATGTTTATGGATTATGATAAGAGTATCTCTGTAATATTTATTTTTACAAGACCATCTCTGTGAAAGTAAAAACATACTGAGATGCTCAGGGCGTGCTAAATATATATACCCAATGTTAATTGAAGCCATGTAAAAATAAATGCTACAGGGCATCTCAGTATGTTTTTATCCTTGTGGAGCGTCTGATCTCTTTGGGAGGTCTGAAGTTTAGAGGATGAGTTTTAGAAGTTGCATTCTCGTCTTGCTTCCACATCTTTATTGTCTTATCTGCCTCACAGGTTACCAACCTTGAAACCCGTCTGATCGTAACACGCTGCATATATACCAGCTTCACTCTCTAGCGAACCTAACAACGTGAATTATAAAAAGACTCAGATTACTCAAGAACTTCCTTAGGTCTTTAGAAATTAATCAAGTAACACAAGAGCAATTTTTTTTTAAGAAACAGTTTGAGGTCAAACCACGCTGTACTCCATCCTCATTCACAGCCACTTCGTTGATTGTGGCTCTCTGCTGAGAACTGCTCCATGGAGTAATACAACACCAAAACACATCAGGAAACTAAATTGTTAAGATAGATGGACTTACAACCTAAAAATAATGGGTGATAAGTGGATTAAGCTATCTATCTTATATATTACTTATCCCTTCCAACTATATCTCTAATACGCTCAATTGAGATAATAGTTCTTTAAGAGTCAGTCTCGGAAAGTTTGGGCAAAGATCGATGGGCCGATTTTGGACTGGATCGATAATGAAACGGATTGTACGTTGTGGATCGTGGGCTCTGATAACATATTAAGAATCATGTTTATTATGAGCTTCCAAGTTAAAACCAATTAGTGAATAGTGGATTGATCCTAACCATTTATATATTACTTATGGTCCTATTGAATTTTTGATGTGGGATATATATCCCTAATATCTCTCCTAGAGATGATAGTTCTTTGAGCTTCAATCTCGGAATGTTTGGACAAACATCGATGGGCCGACTTTGGTCTGGATCGATAATGGATCGGCCTATCTATCGTATATATTACTTTGGATCCTTTAAACTACAGATGTAAGCTTTTGTCTTCTAAACTAGATGGATTTTCAACATAAAAATAATTGGTGATATGTCGATTGACTTATCTATGTTGTATATTACTTAAGATCCATTTCAACTACCAATATGAGACTTTTGTCCCTAATATAAATTTCTTTGATTACATCATAAAACTAATTGATTAAAAGCTCAAAGAATCTAGGTACAAGAACTAATTACAAGGATTCCATATACTTACAGCATGTTGTGGGGAAACTCTCCCTTAGGAAGCCTAAACTTCTTGATGTTGTCAGCCGATGCAGAAACAAAAGCATTCCTGAAAAAAAAAAACAGAGAGAATAAATTAAAACAGGGTTCATTATCTTGCACCACTCCAAGGTTAAAAGAGAAAGACAATTACTCTTTCGGATGGAGAGCCAATGCTCGAACAGCTTACTTATGATTCGTTAGAGTTGTCATCGTTTTACCTGATCACAATATCAAACAACATATATGTTAGCCAACCCTGCACACAGCGAAAGGCTAGAGAGTAAGCTGGTTAGAAGTTAAGTGTACCATATCGAAGGTCCCAAAATTTAATGGTAGAGACATTGAGATTAACAACTTGTGGGTCCTGCAACATTACACACACCGTCAGCTGCCATATCGCAAAGTCCAAATGATTTCAAAAGAAAAACGGATGATCATATGAACATCAAAGAGCAGGGCTTGCTTGTGAAAACATTGCACAAGAGAAGTTAAGATAAGGAAGACGAATCATTTGTTTATTTACAGATAAATTTAAAAGTCTATCATCAAGTTTTAAACCTTATTCTGCTCAAGGTCCCAGCATTTGACTTGCTTGCCATCACCAGCAGAGAACATGTCTATTGCTTAGAGCCAGGCCTGTGCAAGAATAATTTAAGCAAATTTTAGAAAGTCGAAGCATGCAACATTGCTCTGCAATTACTGATAAACTAACAAATGAATGGGATTAAGATTGAAAAAGGCTAACCTCGTACTTGCCCGGTATGTCCAGTAAATGTGAGATTCAGAACTCCAGTAGCTACATCCCATATCTAGCGAACATGAGCCAAATAAAGCAGTAGTCGACAGGTTCCTGTAACACATAGAGAGGCAAAAAAGGAGATATAATGAGCAACAACTAGAAACGTCATTGGACTTTTATGTACCACCTAAGGTATTACAATCTAAGAAGTAGTGTCATTACAGAGAGCTCATAAAAGGAGAAAAAGGTATAGGACAGAGAACCTTTCAGATGCAGGAAGAATGGCGGTGCATGCCTTTGCCTGTGTGACCAGTGTTG